GTGTTAATCTGAATATAAAATTTAAAAAACAAAGTTGCATTTCACATATGCCACATTTTTTATTTAAATTTCTTTAAAGTCCTGATCAAAAATTCTACATGACTAAATTTTCTTAAATCTTTGAAACTGGAAACTAGAACTGGAACAAAAATTACAAATTGTTTATAGGCTCCTGAAAAATTAATGTATTTGGTCCCCCTTTCTGAAAGCCGTCCTAATAGCCAGATGCTAAACACAAATGCAACCTTTTTAGCAGATGCCCCTCCTCTGACAGAAAGCACTCACCTGCTGATGTCTCCTGGCTTTCTCCAAGTCCAAACTGCCACCTGGGGCACAGGTATCGACCAGCAACTCTTCAGCTTCCGTTATCCACTGTGTGAGGTCATTAAGGTCACAATGGAACTGTCTCCATTCTTCCACAGCTCTATCAAAATAACTAGAGGACAAGAAACAAAATAGGTTTCCAAACTTTCCAGAACTGCCCAGAAGCAATTTTTCTAAAAAAAGAAATTCAAATCTCATTTAAACTGAAAGCCCTCAAATGAGTGAATTCATAGTTCATTGCTCTACAAGACCAATTTTCATGGTGGGTTACAGTTAATATTAATAATTCTTGTTAGAGAAAAAGGCATCACATCAAGAGCAAAGTAATATGCGCACACCATCACCCTCCCACCTCCCTCTCTCTCACACTTACACGTATACAACACACACACACACACACACACACACACACACACACACATACTCCCAAACACACTAAGGCAGCTTTTTAACTGAGAAGATTTAGCCTTCTCTGGCTTGGAAAATCAAGATTGATTAGCTGTAGACATGTTAACCTATCCAAATTTATCCACTTAACATTTAAATACCATGAATTGTAAAATATGATTAATTATTCTCTCAGGAAAAAAAAAATAATGTTGTTGTACTGCCAGAAAAACGTTCCCAGATAGAATAAAGCCCAAAGGGCCAAAACACTTCTCGGTTTTCTGATACTCCCTTATCTCTATGTTATAGACTGAACTGTGTCCCACCGAAATTCATATATTGCAGCCTTAACCCCCAATGTGATTGTATTGGCAGATAGAGCTTTTAAGGCGGTAATTAAGGTTAAGTGAGGTGATAGGGTGAGGCCCTAATCTGAAAGGACTGGTGTCTTTACTAGAAGAGGAAGAAGCACCAGAGAGATCTCTCACGTGAGGACACACCAAGAGGGTGGCCATCTGCAAGCCAATAAGAGAGGCCTCGCCAGAAACCAACCTTACTGGCACCTTGATCTTGGACTTCCAGCCTCCAGAACTGTGAGAAAATAAATGTCTGTTGTATAAGCGACCCAGTCGGTGGCATCTTGTTACGGCAGCCCTAGCGGACTAATACACTTTCGGGGGGTGACTAATCCTGAGTGTCCCACTTACCTGATACCGCACAGTACAGAAGTGCATGCAAAGTCCACGTTAGGAATGAGAAAAAGGCTATTGAGACCTCCGTGTAAACCTGACTCTTTTAGAAATGAAATACAGTAAAACCTCAGTGCTTATCATATTCAAATACACAAAAGAAGTATCAAACGGAAAAGCTTTGTAGGATCAGGGT